TGCGCGGGTGGGCCGGTGCATTTACGGTACTGTGCAGCTGTGTGCACTACGGTACGGTGCAGCTCTGTGCACGGGTGGGCCCATGCATTCCATGCGCGCGTGCTCCCGGGTTGGCTGTGTTGAGTTGTGTGGGGGAAGGAAGGCTCACTTGCGGTCTCCGTGTTCATCCTGCGGCTCTCTTCCCAGGCCGCTGCGGTAGCGCTCTCCTCACTGATTCACGCCTTGGATGAATTAGACATGGTGGCCGTAGTTCGATATGCCTATGACAGAAAAGCTCATCCTCAGGTTGGCGCGGCACTTCCTTATATCAAGGACGCCTATGAGGTAAAACCCACAGTTCTTTCACTGTTCATTATTTCCCGTCAGTTCCTTTATTCCGGACAGTGCTTCTCAACCGGGAACGTGCGTGGGAATGACTTGGGGTTCAGATTCTGTAGGTCTGGAGCGCTGCCTGAGACTGTGCGTTTCTCACAAATTCCCAAGTAAGGCTGACGCAGTTTGTGAACCACATTTTCAGTTGTAATGAAAGAACGTAAATTATAAAAGTATGTGAGGAGCTTATTATTAAATCAAATCAGTGAAGGTTACCTGTAACCTTATGTTTGCCCAGTCCAGTGACCTCTCAGTTCTCACCCTTCTTGACCTCGCAGAACCTACTGGAGATAGAGAGTGCCCCTAGTTTTACAAATGAAGACTATGGATAAAGGTCAAGGGTATGATTTTGTTGTGGTTGTTGAAAAATTCAGTTTATTTAGGGTTCTCCTGTTGAAAATACAGGCTTAGATTCTTGACCATCTCCTGTTTCTCAGAGAATTTTCTGTGGTATAACTGGAAAGGAGAAGGCAAATATCTTGACTTCCCGATATGCCTTCCAGTCACCGTGACTTTTCCATTTGTTGTATTGGTCACACATTTTGCAGGTATTCTTTGATAGTCTTTCTTTTAAGTTTTTTGTTGTTGTTGTTGTTTAATATTCTTTGTACTTTTCACAGTTGTAAACAATGAATAACAGAAATCAAAGCAATTTACTTACCACGTACCAGACTTGACTTGCCTGATTTTTGAAATACTTTTGTTGCGCCACTTGCATGGTGCTTGGGACCACCTTTATATTTTTTCCATTAATTTGGTTTCTGCTTTTACCTCCTGTCTTTCTCATTAGTGTTTAATATATGTGCAGCTGCCGTTTATGGAAGACTTGCGACAATACATGTTTTCATCTTTGAAAAATAATAAGAAATACATTCCCACGGGTGAGTTTATTTCCATTTTGCTCATTAATTGGCTCTGAACGCAGACTGTCCTTGGGAAATCACCTGTCTGCAGTCATTGATAGGGGCCGGGAGACTTCACAGGGTGGAATTACTTAGATTCCAGTTGTGCTCGTACACAGTGATGATGAAGGTGGTGCATCATGTTTTTTCATAGTAGGGATAGATTTGCCCTGAACTCTCCAAACACTGTCAGGTTTCACTCCTCTGACTTAGAGCTTGTAGCTAGGGAGCAGCTTATTGGAAGTGGATGTACATTTCTCTAGTTGTGAACCAGTTCGCTCTCTGCTGAAGTGAATTGACGTGCAGTGTCAAAGCTGTGACTTTAGTGTCCTACATAAAATATGATGTAACTAATTTTGAACTGAAAAGTAAGTGCTGGAGATTAACTTTTCTCTTTGTCCTTTTTTTGTAGTTTATAGGTAACCCTCCAGGCCTCCTTGTTCCTTGTTTCTGGGAATTACTTTGAGCTTGATGAGAAAAGACCTTTATTATGCATCTGGCTACAAATGTCAGGGTGCCGCATGGAATGATTCTCACAGATAACAAATCCTATCTTAGAGCTCATAGTTTAAGACAGCTGCAATAAAATATCAGAGTGGGCCAGTGTAGAGAATATGTACCAAAAAGAACACAAAATAACGAGTAGATGTTTCAGTTTGAAAGTTTAAGTCTGTGTCAATATAGGATTACGGAGTTGTGAGGTGAGTCTCAGAAGTGGGTTCTCTGTTTTTTTTGGTTAGATCCTTGAGGAGCAGTGTGCTGTAGAAAAGCCAGGAATCAAATAGACGCTAGGGCTTGTGTCTTCACCTTCTAGAAGTGAGTCCCTCTGCATCTTGATGGAGCCAGGCATGGACTTGAAAGTTTAGAAGCCTCCACTGTGTTACAGTATTATTTCTCTACGTCTTGATAATTTCAAACATTTATTGAGTAGACATTTAAAAAAGAGAACTTTGTTGAGAAATTATCGCATGGACATAAATCATTCACTCAGGATCTAAATATTAAGTATCTTTCAGTCTCTTGATTTATTTTCTGTGAGTTTGCATATTTTTATTTGGACGTTCTCCATTGGGAAATGGGTCGTGAAAACTGTTTGACATATGCCCCAAGCAGATATTTACATAGAGGTGTGCAATGCCAGAGTGATCTGGCCTGATGGTAGTTTGATGTAGCAAATGGAAATCACTGAATGTTCCACACGCACAGGTGCAACCTCCTACCTATTGCCAGGTGGACCCTGCAGTAGTCAGTTTAAGATGGTGATGGCTGTGCCAGTGTCTGAAACCTCCCCTGGAAAATCCAAAAATGGGATAGAAATGTATCAGGATAAAAATCCCTCCGCTCTTTCCTTTTGTAGTAAAAGAGATAATTTGAAAAGGGAAGAACAGAAGCCCAAGGGGCTTTTTAGGAACTGCTTACTCTTTTCCACCTTTTGCCTAATGGCTGTGAATGATCCAAAAACAGCACTTCAGCTTTTAACAGCTGAGCTGCTGTATGAATCAGCAGAATGGAAGTTATACATGGTGGTTTAGGTAGAAGTGTTTTTGGAAAGTATTGCCTTTCATCCACATTGCCTTGGACTGTGCCCCTTTTTGTTGAGTCGGTAGGTTTTTATTGAGGAGTACTTGCTTTCTGCTAGGTATTAGAGAGGTGATGAAGATGTCGTGTTCTTGCTGTTAAGGATCTTATGATTTGAACAGAGTGGGGTAAGACAGGGACACAGGTGTGCATATAGGCCATGAGGTCTGTGAGGGGAGAGAGCTCATTCTGACTTGGGGAGATTGGGAAGGAGTCCACTCTCTCTGGTCTACTGGTATCTTCCCGTTAGGTTACTCTTCCTCTTAAGTCACTCTGACACAAGATCTAGGAAATCCTTGTAAAGCTTACACCTCATCACCAAAGGTACTGGCTTTTTCTTTTTCATGTTTTTCTCCTTTAGCTAATTACTAATTGTTTTGAATGTACTAAGTCATTGAACACTGAATATTTTGAGTCTCCGTATAGAAGTTGGGTTTTGTATGGCTGTGGTGCTTCCTCTGGATCAAACTCTTGCTTTTGATATGATATTACACTGCAGAAGTTCACCCAGTGGACCTAGGAGACCAGCTACTCGAAATAGCTCTTTCTACGAAAGAGAACACAAAGACTCAGGTTAAATGACTGAATAACTAGAGACTGTTTTTTGGCCAAGCCTGGAGTGTATAACCTGCCACGAATGCTGTATCTATGAATGCAAAGCATTCATTTTAGTGGAGAGCAGTGGAGGTAATCATTTTTGCTTTGTACACTCTTTTTATCCTTGGTTTAGAGGCTCAGTTGAGTGCTGTTGATGCCCTGATTGACTCCATGAGCTTGGTAAAGAAAGATGAAAAGGAGGACACCATTGAAGATTTGTTTCCAACCAGCAAAATCCCAAATCCTCAATTTCAGAGATTATTTCAGGTAAGAGAGAAAAGATGAACCACTTTTTTTTTTTTAAATGAAAGAGACCTGAGTGAAAAGTTAGTGTAATTGGCCAGTCCCAAACAAGCGTCCTTGTCGTCTGAGAGCCTCAGTTGCTTTATTTAATGGAAGAATAATACCTTCCTCTTCCTACTAAAAAAGATAAAAGTACTCTGAGCTGTTAGAAAGAAAGAAGTAAAGTTAGGATACTTGAAAAATTATTTTTCAGGGCGCCTGGGTGGCTCAGTCGGTTAAGCGTCTTCCTTCGGCTCAGGTCATGATGTCGGGGTCCTGGGATTGAGCTCTGCTTCTCCCTCTGACCCTCCCCCTGCTCGAGCTCTCGTGTTCTGTCTCTCTCTCAAATGAATAAATTAAAAATCTTTAAAAGGAAAAATTATTTTTCTGGAGGAAGACTAGTTTCTTTTTTTTTTTTTTAAAGATTTTATTCATTTATTCATGAGAGAGACAGAGGGAGAGAGAGAGGGAGAGAGAAGCAGAGGGAGAAGCAGGCTCCCAAGGAGCAGGGAGCCCGATGCGGGACTCGATCCCAGGACCCTGGGATCATGACCTGAGCCGAAGGCAGACGCTTAACCATCTGAGCCACCCAGGCACCCTTTTTTTTTTTAAACGCTAGTTTTCTAATAAAAAGCAGATTCTTCTTTTATGCCTGTTCTAGGATTTTCTCCTCTATTTTATATGAAGGAGACTTTGCTTTGTTTTTAATATCCAAATAGAATTTTTGTGAACTGTATAACAGTTTGACACTGTTTGAAAGAACTGCCTAGAATTCATACTGAAGATCTGGAATTCATTTTTCAGTGGGGGGGGTTGGATAGGATATTTGTCCATTGTTTGTCCTAGTTGTTTTCCCAGAAATGTCAATTGAATATCACAGAATCTTCCAGAGTAGTCTGCTGTGTTGCGTGTGGGATTACTGCTTATATCTTGAGGGCTTTCTAAGCTTTGTAGGTAATATAGTGACCTGAGGTAGAGCACTGTGAATTAAGAATTATGCACAAGAAGGTTGGGGGTAGATTCATAGGGTTTGGGATCGCTTTGGTTTCTCCTTTTGCTTCACATTAAAGGAGCTGATGTTGTTGATGCTCAAGGGAACGTCGAGTAATTAGGAAAGCGGAAAATGGGAGTGAGACTCTGAGACAAATGAATATACTCTGGAGGAGGAAGAGTGTGGTTTGGTGTATTGAGATGAGGGAGCAGCACATGAAAGTTCTAGAGGACGTCAGCTCAGACGGTATTTACTATTTAAGCTGAGGTTTTTGTGTTTTAGAATGGAGACTTCCAGCTTACATTTTCTACAGGGTCGGAAAACAGTCCATGGGGTAGTATAAGTCATATACCTTGTGATATGAAACAGTATTTTGGAATTGTAAGAACTTTTCAGCTCCCTGGTTTTTTTTTTTTTTCTTTAAAATTATCAAGGTTTAAGTCTTCTAAAGGTGGGCATAGTAGGAGTCTTGTTCTCCAACCGAATTTTGGAATGATTCTCTAGCAAAGGAAAGAAAAGGTCAGTTCTTTCAAACAGTGCCATCACCCTACAGGAGATGTTCTAAAGCATCAACCACTCATATTTTTTTAAAGGTTACATTTTAGATAAAACTAAGTGGGATATGTATCAAATTCATTCAATCAAAAAATCTCAATTCTTTAAAAATTGAGGTTACAAGAAAGTAACACTATTTAATAGCAAAGGAGCTGAGATTACAATCTTTTTTTTTTTTAAGATTTTATTTGTTTATTTGAGAGAGAGAGAATGAGAGAGAGAGAGAGCACGAGAGGGAAGAGGGTCAAAGGGAGAAGCAGACTCCCCGCTGAGCAGGGAGCCCGATGCGGGACTCGATCCCGGGACTCCAGGATCATGACCTGAGCCGAAGGCAGTCGCTTAACCAACTGAGCCACCCAGGCGCCCGAGATTACAGTCTTAAAACTTATTTCTCTTTTAAGCAACTCTTAAACTCTCTTTTAAGATCTGTCTTCCTCCTATTGTTTATCTTCCTATATTCCTTTGAGAGTATTTACTTTTCTGGGCAGATACTGGCATTGCCAAAGCTGGCTTCATAGCCGGAAAGCAGTACCGGTGACTGAATGGAATGGCTTGTCCAGGTTTCCACTCATGGGAGCAGTGCAGACCAGCCCTGGCCTTGATCCCAGCCCGTCCTTGGTGCTGCTTCCTGACACTTGTATCAACAAATAGAGTCCCGGAAAAGAGTCCCTCATTCCTTCAACCAACACCTGTTAGCTGCTTATTATGTGCCACCCACTGTTTTTGGTACCTGACATTTAGCAGTAAACAAGACAAACAAGATCTCTAGTTTTAAGAGGGGAGGTTAAATAATAAAGAGGTAAACTATAAGATTGATAAGATAATTTTAGATAATGACAAATGCTTTACAAACTATAAAACAGGGGTGATGGGAAAGCACTGGGCGGCAGGATGGGAGTAGAGTGTCAGGGTAAGCCTCTCTGAGGAGGTGATATTTGAGGATGGAATAGAAGGATGGAAATAGGGCCAACTCCGTGGAGATCTAGGGGCAGCCCTATGAGCCAGAGAGCGCGATAAACACAGGCCCCAAAACCTGGACTGCACTGGCGTGGGAGTGAAGCAGGAAGAGCCTAGCCTAGCTGGGGTGTGAGTGAGGGAGGAGGTTGGTGGATGAGGGAGGCGCTGTGGTGTGCTTGACTTCTTTGGGTGTGGGAAGGGCTCGGTTTAAGACGGCTTCAACTACACAGGACAGTGAAAGTAGATTCAGGGAGCCCCGTTAGAAGGTGATTGTGGTGACTCCCACTCGAGGGCTTGGTCCCCAGACAAGAGTGCTGGGAGAGCACATGGACAGAAGTGGATTGACCAGTGGAGAAGAGCCCAAACTCAGCACTCTGTGGGGTTTGGGACAGACCAGTACTCTGTCTCTCCTGCAGACTTCTGCCTGGGACTCACGGAGCTCGGCAGCTCCACCTGATCCCCGTTTTCACTTGCTACACATTGTTGTCTAAGATAACGCAAGGGAGAAAGCAGTGTGCTGAGGGAAGCCAAAAGGGTTAGATGCTTCTGGAATGATGCGTCTTAGGGAGGCTTGTGTATTGTCTGGGTGGTAGAAGCAGCAGCCTCTTTCTGTAAGATGAGCCTCTTCTTTAAGAGGCCTGTAGCTGACGGCACTGCTGGGCTCGGATCTGGTTTACAGTTGGTTGTAGATGTTGCCGGTGTCCTGCTAACCCAGGTGCTTCCAAGGCCACCTCTTTGTTCCCTGTTATAGGTGGTAGGAATCCTATAGCCCTCGAAAACTAAACACAGAGGATCTCTGATCAGAAAAGTCTAGTGATCATGTGTGATGTCTACATCTGTGTTTTAAAACCCTCTTCCTTTTCCACAGTGTCTGCTACATAGAGCTCTACATCCCCAGGAGCCTCTGCCCCCTATTCAGCAGCATATTTTGAATATGCTGGACCCCCCCACTGAGGTGACAGCTAAATGTCAGATTCTGCTCTCTAAAATAAAGACCGTTTTCCCTCTGACTGAAGCCATCAAGAAAAAGGATCAAGTGACTGCTCAGAACATTTTCCAAGACAAGTAAGTGCTCGATGTCGTTGCACTTGACATTGGAGTATGTAAGACTGTGCAGTCTTAGAGGAGCTCTGGAATTAAGAGTTGCATATGGGTCTGTGGTTGAGGGAAGAAACCTTTTGATGTTTGACCCTTGCATTGAAAGTAGTCGTTTCTCCTCTCTGTCCATTGTAGATCTATTATCCTTACAAATTCACCTGGAATTTATTTTTCTTTCTTTTCCTTTTTTTTTTCCTACCTGGAATTTAGAGCTATCTTTTGGGTTGTTGATGTTTTGGTCAGCATCACATTCTTGGTGATTTATGTTTAATGGGAAGGCTAAACAGTTTTTGAACATCTAAGACTTAACTTTTCCTGTTTTCAAAGTAGGGTGCTGGGACTGAGGACAGGGCTCAAGGTCGTAAGTTTTCTCAGCTGGGAGGCTGGCATCAGAGAATAGCAGCGAGATTTTTGGAGGAAAAGTGGGAGGAAGGATGGAAACCTGGCTCTTACTATATCAGTGATGTACTTGGGTGTACCAGGAGTGAGGGGTTTGTAGTTTAAGGACTGCAAAATGCTTTCCTGTGATCAAGCTTAAACTAAATCAAGCTTTCAGGCAGCTAAATAAGTTTTTTCCCTCATCAGATTCTGTTCACGGTCTGTGTCAGTTTCCATTCAAAGCAAAACAAAAATCCTAAGAAGTTGTTGATGATCCCGAATCATTTAGGTGGATAACATTGATTTTACCAGGTGTGGGTTCAGTTATTGGTGACTTTTCTCCCCAAATCAAAATGATCTATTCATTTCTTTAGGTTACGTTCTAAGATTCAGTTTTAGACCGTATTTTTTTTTCCTTTTTTTGTTTTCGTACCCACATCTGTATCTTTATGGACAGACTAAAGCGTATTGTTTGTAAATACCCCCTTGGAGGAGTACAGAATAACTTTCAGAAACCTTTACAGGGTTCTGTAAATTTTTAAATTTATTGAATTATTTTCCATGTTGAATAGAAAGCTTTGCATGTTCTTTGACTTTTTAGAGGTTAATACCCCAAGCTTTATCAGAATTGGAAGGCAAAAATCACGGGATTGGTATATTCTGTCATGTGCGTTCCTAACACCCTGGAGAGCCGTGCGTTCCTTGTCTTGTACATGGGGAGACTGTCACTAAGAATCCACTTTCCCTCTGCTGTCCTCACCCACTGTCTCCCTCTGGATTAGGATTTTAGAACAGCTCTGTACGCTTCTGAGTCCCTTCCTTCCCGAGACAGGTTTGCTGTGGTCTTGCCACAGTCATGTGGCTCTTCTCTGTGTACTAAAGCTCCAGTTCATGATCTTGATTACCTTCTGGTGTTGTGGGAAAGAAATGGGCTGTTTTTCCCTCCTCCCATTGATTAAAATGCAAGTTAGCTGATTAAAAAGCACCCCATGAAGGCCCCAAAGACTGTTGTTCTGTGATTTGATCCCTGCAGTGATTACACCTTCAGCTCTGTTCCTCCTGCTCACTCTTCAAGGAAGAGGAAGCCCGAGCGCATCGCGGGCTGCTTGTGCTCTGCTTCCACAGTGGTTTGCGACAATGCCAAGTCATCGGCCTGGGGCCTGGGGATTATCTCGCTCACATACACCTACTCACACGCCTAACATACACCTCCTCACACGCCTATTCTTAACCCTTTCTTCTCAGAAATCTTCCAGGCTTTTAAGAACTGCAGAAATGACTCATTTAACCAATATTTATTGAGTAGTTCCTGTATTTAAGAAGAATGACCCAGTCCCTTCTGCAAGGTTCTTAAACCCCTCAAGTTTAATGATGAGGCTTCAACCAGCTTTAGAGGTGGTCTCCCTACTGGGGAAAAATTGCTAACAACTGGCTTTGTTTTTGTGTATATTCAGCACCTCCATATTCACAGTACCTAGTTCCATTGTAGAGGTGAGGGGCTAAGACTGGGCAGTGGGCAAATGTCTGCAGGAGGTGTCAGGCCAAGACAAGAGTCCTGAGCTGGGCATCACCAGTTTTTATTCCAGCTTTGCCACTCACGATCTGATTTTGGTTAATTTACCTTTACAAGAGTTTCGTCATCTAACAACAGCTTCATCTCGAGATATTTTAACAACGAAATTACAGATACTGAAGCAATTTGAACTATTTGAAAGGAAGGCAGGAGTCGGAACCCAAAGCAATAATAGTATCATTATCCAATAAAACATTGAGTATTTGAGAAGATCTAGTATTCATGCTGGACCTGTTGAATCCTGAGTGTTAGGAGTGATTTCTTCATTTCAGAAAGGTAAGAGCACCATTTGACAATATAGTCCAAAAATGTACTATGACCCCTACCATGTAAAAGCATTGCTTCCCTCAGTGTTGCTGCACACCCTTGAAACAATAATGTCTCTTGGACAGGGAACTTCAACACGAGAATTAGGACATTGGAGGTCTAATCTTGTTTGGGCAGCTAACTCATATGTGATCTTGATTTCTTTTTGTCCCTGTGCAGATATAATCTAAACTTTCCTCCTCTTTTCAAGTCCCCTAAGATCCTCCCCACTTACCTTCAGCGACCAGCCTCACCTGGTTACTGGTATAGACCTCAGACTCCAGAGTCCAACAATGTGAGTTGGTCCCCTTGCTCTGCAGTGTAACCTTAGGCACAAGCTGCTTATCCACCTTAAGCCTCAGTTTCCTCCTGGGTAAATAGGGTTACTAGGAATAGCTCTCATGGAGTTGTCATGAGGGTTCATTGAGTAATATATACTAATGACTGTTGCATGTCTAGAACCCAGTGCAGTGCCTGACACATAGTAAGCAGTGAGGAAATGATTTACTAAATCTTTGTAGTGTCCCTGGCATATTCAAGATGACTCCAATGGTGATAGTGGTGTCATAGGGAAGGTAGAGGCCCGTAGGTGGGAATGCGTCAGTATTGTGGCCCATTTCCTCTAAAAATATAGGAACAGTACTGTTCTGCATCTGCCTTCACTTACTTATTTCCTTTTTTCTTTTTTTTTTTTAGATTTTATTTATTAATTTGAGAGAGCGAGTGTGCGCACAAGTGGGGGGAAGGGGCAGAGGGAGAGGGAGAAGCAGACTACCCACCAAGCAGGGAGCCCAGTGTGGGGCTTGATCCCAGGACGCCGGGATCATGACCTGAGTCGAAGGCAGACGCCTAACTGACTGAGCCACCCAGGAGCCCCAACTTCCTTCTTTGGGGTCTCAGTGGAAGGGGGTACCTCATCCTGTCCAAAGTCCATCCTTTCACCTGTGTCCTGGGATGCCATCTTTTGTCTCATCTGATACCTCTGTCCACTAATAATTTCTTCCCACTTTCTGTATTTTCATCTTCTCCCTCCTGACCAGCTCCTTTGCCTCCACGTTGGCATTGTATCTCTTTCCTCCAAATCAAAATACAGTCATGCCCTCAGCTTTCTCCCTTGGATTGCTGCCTGTTACCATCTTCTTTCCTTCCATAAGGTAGGCTTATTGGAAGAAAAGTCCACACTGCTGCTTTTCCCAGCCCCCACCACTTCCCTGCAACCCGTCTTCCATAAGACACTAACTGGGAAATTTCCTTCAGCCTGGCGGTCCTTTCCTTTCCTGACCTCCTTGTAGCACTTGACATTGTCAATTATTTTCCCCCTTGGGACTCCTATATCTTCCTTAACTTTAGCTTCTCCAGATTTTTCTTTCTAAACCTTTGCAGTTTCCTCTTAGATGCCTCTGACAATGTAGTCCAAAAATATACTATTACCCCCCACACCCCCTGACCCCCCGTCTTAAGTGTTGTTGTTCTGTCCTGTAGGACTCCTTCTCAGAAAGAGCTGACATGTATTGGACACAGGTGTGTGCGCTGTAAACATGCCTTACCCATGTGGACCATCTTGGCCGTTCTGGGAAGTAGATTCTTTTGTTAACTCGCTCTTAAAGCTGAGGACGCTGAGGCTTCGAGAAGCTAAGAAACTTGCCCAAGATCACAGGGGGTTAAGTGTTGGAGAAAGGGTTTACACCCAGTCTGACTCCAGAGCTTGCCTTCCCAACCATTATGCCATATTGCCTCAGCAATGCATGTCTCAGGACCTTTTATTATTTCACATACAGGTCTTCAAAAACTACTGAATATCTGTCTATTCTAATATGCTTCGATCCTGTGCTCTGGACATCTGAAGTGTCTATAGACCCCTCAAGTTCAGTATGTCCAGAAATGACTTTATCATCTCTGTCTCCTGCCATGCTCCCTTCAAACCCTCTTCATGCTGTTATTCTGTGTTTTAGTGAATGACACTTAATTTCCAGGGAGCCAATACCTTTCCTTTACTTTCCATGTCTGATTGGTTTACCAAGTTGCGTTAGCTTTACATCAAACCCCCTCCTTTGCTTCAGGTTAGTGTAGTGGCTAATAGCATTGATTTTGCATTGCAGTCAAGTAGAGTTGGATCCAAGTCGAAGCATTTCACTTCAATGGTAGTTAAAATTGACAAGTTGCTCTGCGCTATTTGCGGTAACAAATATGTACCTTTCAGAGGCCCTTCGGGAGAGTGGCTTACAGAATTCATTGTGCACCCCCTTACTAACTGTGTGCTTTAGACAAGGTCAGGCCCTTTTGAACCTTGGTTTCTTCATTTGTAAAAGGTCAATAATGATAGCTAACTCATAAGGTGGTTGTGAAGTTTAACTGACTTTTTTTTTTATTAACATATAATGTATTATTTGTTTCAGAGGTACAGATCTATGATTCAACAGTCTTACACAATTCACAGCGCTCACCATAGCACATACCCTCCCCAATGTCCATCACCCAGCTAACTGAGGTATTTTAAATATGCTTGGTGTAGTGATTAGCCCATGGTTAATGTTTAAAAAAAAGTTAGCTCTTATTAGCATTTCCCACTGCCATTGCTCTTCTATAGTCCTCAGTTTGGCCTGCTTTACTGAGATAACCCCTTAAATGATTTCCCTTTCAGGTCTTACCTGTTTCCAATCTACCGTGCATTTGCTACCTGAGAGATTTTTTTTTTTTAAACAAATCCGATCACATCATGGCAGTGATTCTTAATCTTTGTGTGTACATATGGTGGACCCTTTCAGTAATCTGATAAAAACTGCGAACCCTCTGCTGGAGTGGAGGGGGTGGGAGGGAGGGCGCTGCTGGGTGATGGACATTGGGGAGGGTATGTGTTGTGGTGAGCGCTATGTATTATGTAAGACTGATGAATCACAGACCAGTACCCCTGAAACAAATAATACATTATATGTTAATAAAAAACAAAACGACAACTGTGAACCCTCTCCCCAGGAAAATGACCTACCATACCAAATTTTGCATATAATTTCGGGTGGTTCACAAATTCCTTGTCACTATCCTTGGACACCTGATTAAAAACCTTTGCTTTAGTGGCTTTCCGTTAGCATTGGCTTAAGATCAAACCTAGAGAAAAAAGAGAAACCTAAAAAGAAAACCTAGACAAGCAGAAAGAAGTACCTATTCATAATCCAGCTCCCTAGAGATCCACTTTTTTTCCTCACACTTTCGGTGTCCATGACTTAGATACAGTAGTCCCCCCATTTCCCATGGGGAATGTGTTTCAAGACCCCCGGCAGAAACCATGGATAGTACTGAACCCTATCCATGCTGTTTTTTTCTATATATACATTACATAACTGTGATAAAGTTTAAGTTATAACTTAGGCACAGTAAGAGATTAACAACAGTAATAGAGCAGTTATAATAATATACTGTAATAAAAGTTCTGTGAATGTGGTCCTTCTCTCAAAGTGTCTTGTACTCTACTCACCCTTCTTGTGATGATGTGAGATGTTAAAATGCCTACGTGATGAGATGAAGTGAGGGGAATGACGTAGGCATCGTGACGTAATGTGAGGCTACTGTTGACCTTCTGACCCTAAGTCATAAAGAGAATCATCTGCTTTCAGACTGCAGTTGACCACGGGTAACTGAAAACTGTAAAGCAAAAACCATGGATAAGGGGGGGCTACTGTATTTTCCATCCCCCTTTCTCACTACTTCCCAGTCTGCCTCTCATGCCCCAGCCCAGTACAGCTACTGGCTATCCTCTTAGAGGGACATGCTGTTTACCACAGTAGTTTGTTAATCGCTTGTTTATATATTTATCTCTTTTGTTTGGTGAATTTCCTGAAAGTGTTGGTTGTGTATTACTTTTTATACATTTGGAATCTAGAGCCTAGTGTAGTGGCCAGCATATAGTAAGTTATTAGGTAAAAGTTTGGCCAAATAGATGAATTACAAAATATATACATATTTATAAAAGACAATAAGAAAATGAGAAAGAACAATAAATTATTGACATCCAAATGCAGCAGCTGTTGACATTTGTATGTCTGCTAGGGTCTTGCATGGATAATTTCTATCTTCCAGAGCTCAGCTTCTTCAGATAATTTTGGGATGAGAGTCATTGCCCTTTCCCACTAGAGAGAGACATTATTAGTTTAATATATGTAAAATTCCTAATAATGCTATTAAATGGTTCAGTCTTGAGAACATTAACCATACTCAAATTTTCACTACTTTCTGCTTATTACCTTTACCTGTCCAGTCTTGGAGGATTGATATATGTGTCTCTTTGTCCTTCCTTCCCTAGAATCATATTTTGGAGGGTGTAAGAAATTCTTCATGCGATTCAACCTTGTGTTCTCACAGAACTAAGCATAGCGCTTTATATGTTTAATGCTTCTTAACAGCACTATATGAGGTGATTTGCATTTTTGGAAGACCGTAGATGAGTAGTGATATGCTCATGGTGCTTTCATCATAGTATTTTTCTGAGGAGCAAACTGAAGACCAGCGAGGGGAGTCATTTACTAGATTTTAAACTCTAGATATACAAAAATTAAGATATCAGTCAATACCTTTAAGAAGACGTAAGGGTTCAGGGTTAGTCAGTGGAAAAAGTGAGACTTGAATCTAGGAGTACTACATTGTCTGTCTCTTGGGAAGAACTGACAAAGGTTCACTGAGATGGCTGTGACTCTTTTAAAAGGACTCCAATTCTGATGGAATTTCATGCTCCCTTGGGCTTGTGCATTTTTCCTGTTTTTGCCATCAAGGCTTTGTGTGGTTATTTCTTTTTCTACTTGAAGAGCTCTGGATGACTCACCCCTTTTCATGTTTCCTGGTCTCTATCCTTCTGTCTTCTACTTCTCTTTCCTTCTCAAAGGGAAAAAGGCAAGTGTTGAAAGAAAAGATGTCAGGTAATAAAAGTTTTAATTCATGTTTGTGAGGCTATAATAATTACTTCAGCCCTTTTATCTCATGGTAAGAGATTCTTTATTGAAATATCATTGAATAAGCCAGCTTATGCCTCATTTTTCTTTGTTTTTAGGATAACCTCTTCTTCAAGGCTCATGCTCTGAAGGTTGGGCTTTTGAACAAAAACATATCAGGTTTAGAGATACTGGATCTTGGTTACTAACTTTTCTCATTCAGCCATTTCTTGACCGCTGCTTTGGCCCAGATTATTTGTCTGGGAGAAAAATTCTATCTCTGTGTTCAGCAGCTTCAGGGAGATTATCCAACAGTCTTTGGATCTGTTTTTCTTCTCCTTTGCAATTAATTTGTCCTCCTCTTGACTTTAAAGCAGGCTGTTGAAGCCAGCATGTTACTTGAGATAAGATGTTTTTTTTTACTTTTGTTTTGTTTGTTTGTTTGTTTTTTTTGAGATAAGATGTTTGATACAGTCCTTTGGAACCATCTTTCCCTTACTACACAGATGCTGTTGGACTGTTAGCATATTGCCCAAAACAGAATTAGGTTTATAAAAGAACATATTAAAAAGCTTTTTTGGAAAGTGGTTTTTTTTTTATAGTTTAAGGACTTCTAAGAACAAGGTCTTGCATATTTAATTAAGGATTGTCTAGTAAGTTTTGACAGCTGTGAGCAGAAGCTTATAAAGCTCTCACATATACGATGGAGAAGATAGGGTATTAGACCCAAAGGTCACCCATGTCATGGAAAGCTAATAGCTATCAATTCTGAGACAGAAACTAGCAAATGGTATCTGAGGGGTAAATGGGTCTCTTCCTGAAATGCCAGGTTTCCTTTACCTTTGCTTGCAGTTTCATCTTTGGAGGGGGCTCTGTGATGCGGCTGCTGATTATGACTTCTCTGGCGCTGTGAGGCAGAGCCAGGGCAGCTCCCTCAGGCCTTCGGGAATTCTAGGACTGCGGGGGGGGGGGGGAGGCTCTTCGTCAACAAGGAAAGGACTAAGTGTGGCTGTTTATTTTTGACACTTGAAAAATAAACGTATACTTCATGGGTCAACCAAGTCTGGTTTTTGTATTGTGTATTCTGTTTTAAGAGAAAAAATCCATTTATTTCTTTTCCAGCCATGAAGAGGGTCCCACCTCTAAAAAACTGAAGACTGAGGAAGGGGAGGCCTGCTTTAGTATCAGCCTGGCTGAAGGAAGTGTCACCAGTGTAAGCAGTACTTTCCCAGGGTGTTTCCCGCCTTCCTGGAAGGTTGGGACTTGGGTGGGGTCGGGGGAGGGGGTGCGGGAATGCATCAATTTTTGTTAGTCCTTTAATAATTCACTTTCTCTGGTGCTTCTAATATATGAACCATGTACATCCTTCCCACACTTCTTCCTTTATTGTCAGGGAATTACCTACAGAATCTCCTTGACACATGTGCGTAGAGCATGGTATAATATGCAGTACATGGAATAACTTAGGTAATACTTTTGTTAGAGATTTCTTGGTTGGCTTTACTTTGCAGCTTTCTGTTTAGTTAAAATGATGGGATAAGTGGAGGTTGATGATAGGAGTCTTAGTTTCCGAATTTGTAAAATTTAAGAGCATGACTCCTCTATTTCTTTTCTAATACATAACTTCGGAACAGGCTTCACAAGTTTAACATTTTCCCAAACCAAGTGTCTTTTAACACTTGAGATCTTCTTTATTTAATGAGAAGGTTTTGGAACTTGAATATATTGTCTTCTGTTAAGTGGCATTATTTTGAATCGGTGAATCTTAAAAATTGTCCCTTACTAGCCAAATGCACTAGGAAGGATAGTTAGCATTAGGGAATGCCTTTTTTCCAACCTTAAAAAAGAATGCTCTCAGGAAAACTGAACACCTGAAAATGATTTGGATTTTTATTTCAGTGTTTTATAATAAAGGAAAAAAGATCATGACCTTATTTGTTCTGAGAGCTTTTCTGACTGCTATCCCAGAGCAAACTGGAAACTTTAGTACATTTTGTACCAGAGTTTACCAGCTGTAATAGAAGCCCGTTGTCTTCTCCCCAGTGAGCTGAGTGATACTTAGGGCTTGTTGAGGTTGGGACTGGAAGATTTTTTTTTTCTTTTTTTTTTAAGAAAGGGAGGGGTGGAGAGGATGAGAGGGAGAGAGAAGGAGAGAGAGGATCTTAAACAGGCTCCATGTCCAGTGCGGAGCCCGACACGGGGCTCAATCTCACGACCCAGAGAACATGACCTGAGCCAAAATCAAGAGTCGGATGCTTAACTGACTGAGCCACCCAGCTACCTCTAGGTTGGGAGTGGAAGATTAAAGACCTACGTATGATTAGGAAGTGCCATATGGTGTGGCAGAGTTTTATCTTTGAATCTTTCATACCTAGCACTATGGAAAATCTTTACACAATATCTGCTTTTATTTTGGGGGGGACATGTGCAGCTGGACATGTTTGCGTGTTCTACCAAAACTTCAATGCCAGAAAGACCTAAGCAGTCCCCACAAAAGGGCAGTTCAGCAAACCAAGTATCAAGGCAGTTATTTCTCATGTCATCTGCAGTGGGGCAAATATATTCTGAACGGACCCCACACTGCAGAATTCTCCCCTTCCTAACTTGTTGGATGTCTGGATGTACCAGCACTGTGACACATAAAGCCTTCTGGCTGAGCTGACTGGTGACTTGGGTTGTAATACTTCTGACCTCTCTGGAAAGAAGTCAGCTTCCAGAAAGAGAGGTAAGTGAAAGTACAGACGGCAGCTTTTTGGCTGCAGGAATCTGCTTGCTTTTAACACAACCCTGGAAATGGAAATGAATAGAAAGGACCTTCTCTTTGTCTTTGGTTTTATTTTATAAGAGCGCATTTACTACATTAAGCCATCTCGTATTGCCGGGGTGCTGCCAAAAAGAGAAGTGATCTGTGGGTTCATTGTCTGTGTGTGCATTCTAGGTTGGAAGTGTGAATCCTGCTGAAGACTTCCGTGTTCTAGTGAGGCAGAAGAAAGCCACCTTTGAGGAAGGTGAGTGCTATGCTGTTGCCTCTGCATTTAAGGGAAGATAGATAATTAGAGTAATGGATTTATAATCTAGATTAAGAAGTGTAGCCTTTTGTTGGTATCCTTATACAGCAGGTTTCCTTCCTCGTGGACCTTTGTGATTGTGTGTTACTGGTGAGCTCCTCAGAGCAACACTCTGAGCACATGAGGGTAAACTCAGCACAGGTCTGCCCAAGTAGGAAAAGAGCTAATTTGTAGGTCTTTTTCTTAAGAAAACTGTAAGCCGGAACCTTAGAGCTCTTGGTTCCACTTCACTGAAGTTCTTTGGGGTCTTGTGAGTGAGCTTGGAATAAAACATTTAAAAAAAATACTTTTCGAGAGCACATGAAAGCAGGGGGAGGAGCGGAGGGAGAGGGACAAACGGACCCTGAGCTGAGCACAGAGCTCAATGCGGGGCTTGAACCCACAACCCTGAGATCATGACCTGAGCCGAAATCAAGAGTCTGATGCTTAAATGACTGAGCTCCCCCAGGTGCCCCTGGAATAAAACATTTTTGTGTCATGTCTTCCTCTTTTCAGTGACCCATAATTCTTGTTCTAGGCCTAAGGGTTTGAGCCTCTTTACACAAGTCCCAGAACACCGTCCTGCTGCCCCTAGATTTGATCTTTCTGAAATTGACTACATTCTCACATTTTCTTTTTATGAATTATAACCTAGAATTCCATTTAGGCTTGGGCTAATATTTGAAGTTTCCTGGAATGGACAGAGGATCTGGGACCAACATTCATTCACTTGATTGTGTTCAACTTCCTGTTTACTCTTTAAGGAGAGGTGGCTGGCAGTTCTAATCCTGCAGATTTGTGCATACGAGAACATTGTGTTCACTATTGCCATCCAGGGTCAGGCCTGTCCGTGTGTTTATGTGAACGTGTGCACAAAACTTCTCTCCCAACTTCTTGGCATTTTAGGGGGAGAAATGACTCCTAAATGTCTAGGAAACCGTACAGTTTCTACTTTGATCGTCTGCAGTGCCTGCCTGTAGGTTACTTCTTGAGAGTCTGAGAATCCTAGCAAAACGCCTGGGCTTGTTGTGCTATTGCCCAAAGGCAGTCGTGACCAGCTGAGCCCCAGAGCATACGGTCTCCTGGACCAGTCCTGTTGGCAGGAACACCGAAGGCCAGCCCATGAGAATTTCCGGAGGAAGACAAGCTTCGTTACTATGATAATCTGTATATGTTTTGTGTTTTGAGGTGGGGAAAGAGCTTTTTGCCCTGTTAAGAACTGCCATACAGGAGAAAAGCTCTTGAGTTTAACACAAAACAAAACTACATGTAAATAGATGAAGGAGATCTGAAATTAAAGCGACAGCTTTCCAGAAGGATTGGTGGAAACAGTACTTCGGAATTTCTCTCCTGCGTGTATGGGGGTGATCAAAGGAAGCTTTCACAGCATTCCTGCCTGTCCTGTTCTCTGCTTGGCTGCATATTGTGACTGTTTTTGGGAGAATGCAGAGACATTACTGTGGCAAGTCAGCCAGCCGTTGCCTGTCATGATTACCATGTTTTTGAAAAAAGATGGAGGCCTTCTTAGCTTTTGATTATATGTTGTCGATTACCTCGGCCAAAGGCAGAGGTCCTCCCTTTGGAAGTGACTAGTCTTTCTGGCTGGTATAGGTGTGGTCTCTTCAGGGACTAACTCTGGCACGATCACGAATGTAAAGGCAGGCAGTAGTGTCTGCTATGTTCAAGTCACTGTGCTAGCATATTCTGTATGTAATAGCATATGCTGAGCTCTTACATTCTTTGTCTCAGTTATCCCACATAGCAATCTTGCAGTCATGTGAGCAAGTGGAGAAGACAGTAGAGCTTTAACAGTTGGTGCCAGAATTTTCTGAGAAAAATAATTTTTTTTGTTTTTTAATTGGGAAAATATTTTGGTAACTGCCTAAGGTGTAGGCTGAGCCTGTCTCCAGCCTGGTGGTTGGCCAGTTAGGGTTCAGAGAAGAGGGACTCTACTGACATCGTAGAAGTAGAAAAACGGGAGCTAGTTCAGGAAAGGAAGGGCTGAGTAGAAAAGAGAGGGAGTGAATGAATTTATATAAGGACACAGTGTTCAGCAGTGTGTTCCCAACTCATAACTGCCAATATTCACTGTCAATAAAATTCTGGATTCCTTGGTTTGAGAGCTCTATCTGGGGAAACTGGTGAAGAGACAAAGAGTTTTGGGTCTGGAATTACTTCAGGCAGAGCAGAGAAAGGACCTGAGAGCACAGGAGACCAGAGTCTGAAGGGCCCCATGAGAGAGTAAATTCTTAAGAATTGGCTCACATCTCCAGAAAACAGTGTTTCCCCAGGCCATGAAACCTGGGGATTGGAAGTAGTCTTGTGAAAGTAACAAGGGCAGGTGACCCCTACATGGCATATAAGTTACAATAGGTAGCATTCTCCCCATTTTATGGGAAAAACTGTATGACTAGGAGAGATGAACTTCTCCCCAAATCACACAGGGATTCAAAATCCTTCTCTTTTTCAAATACTGGATTTTTCTACTTAACCGACTGTTTCTCCTGATTCCTAATGCCCTCTTTCCCTACACAAGTTTGTTGTTGTTCAGACATAATAAGGTCATGTATTTTCAACCCTTGTGCCTGTAGGTTGGACTTCTGAGGAGTAGACCATCCTTTTATGTTCAATGTGACTGAGCCCTGGTGTGCTGCTGGTGGTGTGATGGTGGGATCCCTCTGTTCCTCCATCTAGGACTGGGTCATTCAGAGCTCTGCAGTGACCTCACAAAGGCGGACTTTCTGCAGGGCTGTGGGAAAATGGGACTGCCCACCTGTGAGCAACCAATTCTGTTTCATGGTCCTAACCTGGCTTCCCTTTCATCCTTCCTTTCCTTGCTTCAAGCTCCAGCAATTTTGTTTGTTCATTACTTTTCCTAGCTGTGTTCTGTATAGGCATCTCTACTAAGGCCCTTTGTGAGTGAAGACTCACTTTCCCTGAAGCCCAAAGTTATCCTCCAAACTTGAAGCTACCTTTCTGGTATTGCTCTCCTCTGTCCCTCCCGGGATCTGTGCCTAGGGCAGGGGAGGGAGAAGCTCTTCTCTTTTCTCCAGTAGATCTGCTTTTTAAATTCAGTTGCCAAAAGCATGATCAGTAATAGACGGTAAGATTGTTTTACCCTTAGGCATTGACCCATTCACCTATTATTATAAACTAAAATATGGGTATAATTTCTTTCCATCTGGCTTAATAGTATAGTCATACGGAGAGTTTTGCGATCCTACCCCCTTGACACTAGCAGTCTTCAGTAGGCATCTACACATTTTCTTACATTCTGGTTTTCAGTGTGAGGGATATTTCTTGTCCGAAGCTTACTGGCATAGAGGAGATGACACTGAACCCCGGGAACGTGTTATTTCTGGCTGCTGATGCTTCTGTAAGCTGTCTTTGATTCTCAGGTGCTCCTCTTTTTCTGATCCCTTTCCTTCGCCCTCCCTACCCACCCCACCATTCTGTCAACTGCAGTTTTACAAGAGAAAAATTCTTGACCACAGCCGTATGCATAATGTTTCTCAGTGGTGAAAGTAGACTTGTTTCTCTCACACGGCATTCATAAGTGCATCAGCGCCTTCCTCCGTGATACCTGTTCTCTGCAATCGTGGGTTATTGGAAGGACCTGAGTCCACAGCGTTCTCAGAGACTCCTTGAATCCAGGTTATCCCTTTATGTGAACACCCTCCTCCACCAGCTGTTGGAGGAACACCATGGATTTCAAAATCCTTGCCCCTTCCCTGCTTTTACTTAGGAAGAATGCTAAAATGGTCAAAAGACAGCAAAATAGAGGAGGAGAAAAGCCACATTATTTCAACCCTCTAAATAATTCCTGTGATCAAGATAAGTCTAAATTGAGATGTTCCCACTAAGTATGAGATATTATGTCAAGTAGCTTGGATGTACCTGGTGTCTCAAAAACAGGTTCTCTGAGGACCTTATGAGTCAGAAAGAATGGAATGTAACTTTGTTCTCTGGACCTTGTTTTGCCACTTAGATTGTAAGTTCTGGGGGCGCCTGGTTGGCTTAGTTGGTTAAGTGTCTGCCTTGGGCTCAGGTCATGATCCCGGGGTCCTGGGATCGAGCCCCCCCCTAGGGCTCCCTACTCAGGGGGGGAGTCTGCTTCTCCCTCTGCCCCTCCCCTCGTTCATGCTCTCTCGCTTGCTCTCAAATCAATAAAATCTTAAAAAAAAATCTCACTTAAAAAAAAAAAGAAAGACTGTAGGTTCTGTATTAGGCTTCCAAATTAGGGTGGTGGAGCTCCATTCCACCCGGTTGAGTTCACAGGAGCATGGTTGGTTTAAAAAACAAACCTGTCAAGAAGACCCATCCTACGCAGGAATGGTATGGACGTTTACCATTAGATTTAAGTACAGGGAGCAGGAGTGTGCACATACCCATCTGATTAGATGGTGATCACTTTATTTTCTCGCTCTGAGGCCTTTCTTTTCTTGTATCTGTTTTGTCTCACTTTGTTTGGACCACTTTTCATCCTCAAGCCTTTTTGCCTTTGTTCTCCCATCTACCTCATTCTCATTGATTATCAAACAATATTCCTTCAGTTTTAAAGGGTGTTTCTTAAAATTTACCAACACAGGATGGAACGTGGTAACAGTTCATGATAAAATTACATCATTCATCAAAGCCAAATAGACATTTTTTTCAGTTCCATTTCTGAATGGGATGACACTGTCCCAGGTGCACAGTAGCTTACTTACATGCATTATATGACTCTCTGCCATGAGGCAAGCCCTGAAGTGTGGATCCCCAAGAATTGAGACCTAGGAGAGATTTCCCGTGTGTGTGTGTGTGTGTGTGTGTGTGTGTGTGTGTGTGTGTGTGTGTTAATGAGCCTGTTTATGTAATCTTGGGTATGGCTTATGTAACTTATCATAGCTCTTTCCAGATAAACGTAGGAAGATAAGAATATGGCCTTTTTCTGTTGTTTTACACAGAGCTGGTAAATTTAA